AGAAAAAATAAAAATTACACATTAACAAGACACCAAAAAAGACAAGGTGTTGAGTGAGAGAGTAAAATAATAAAATGCAGCTTTAAGGGCAGCAGGTTAACGTTAGCCTGACACAAGCTCAGGTCCTGTTTTTCTCCATCTCCCTGCATTACTGCCAACTGTTGTTGCTGCAATTTAAGCCTTTTGTTGCAGCCAGGCTTTTTCACTCACAGGCAGGCGGGCTGCTTCTGGTAACTGGCGCAGGGGCCATAAAAGAGCCCTGTGCTTTTGGTTTAGACAAACCACATCAAATGGAAGGAGGAAGGTTTGAACAGGTGGACCAGCCTGTAGCGCAGCACAGACAGATCCCTTTTTTTTAATGGATCACAGCTCAGAAATGTCAGCTGGAACATTTTGAACCTGATAGATCAGCGCTGTGTTGCAGCACATGCCTGTGTGAGTAATGAACTTCACACAGCAAGCCTGCATGACGCACCGTGGAGCTACGAAACTCTTCTCAAAGTTCTTGAAATCGACCACATGAGGGATAAATGCATCAGCCACAACATTTAACACGAGGCCACAAGTCATTAAAAAAATCACAAACATTCTCCAAATCCTTGTCCAGTGACAACAAAGACAAACTCGGCGACGCAGCGTAGTCAGTGAAAGACATATTCTTTATATAGATTTTGTATCATTCTGAGCTGGAGGCTCACATATCCCCATAAATCTCCTCAGGCCTGACCTTCAAAAGCCTGCAGGAAGTTGCAAATCTCCGTCTGAGTACAAGAGAAGAGGGTTAAGGGCAGTGAAGGGTCGTCTGGTGAAAAGGCAGCTACTGTTCGAGGCAGTTGAGATACACTGAATATTTTTTAAGTGTCTCACAACCAGATTTTGGGGACACGTGAAAATTTGCATTTAAATTTTTTGTTCATTTACCACTAAAGATCAGGTGAATATCCAAGTCTCTTTTCTGTCTAAAGCATTCCTGCAACCAGCCTCCACTTCCTACTACCCCCCTCAGCTAATCACCTCATCTCCTGATTACTTTATGGCCCGCTGTAACTGGCTTTAGGATGAGAGAAGGAAGGGCTGGTAACCACAGCTTAAATCAGTAATTGGTTCAGGCTTGAAAACTGATACAAACGCGTTGACCTCTTGCCAGTCTGGCAGGCAGAAAGCCTTGCTCCGTCCAGCCTGCCTGTGCTCCTCTGGTCAGAAAAACAAACATAGAGCGCAGAAATGTTTTTTCCTGGCTAACACCTTGGTCCCAGAGCATACAGCCCACAAGCTAACCAGCAAATGAGGAGGGGGTAAGAGGCCGGGCTGACTGTCACACAGTGAAGGAAAAAGAAAGGGAGGGGGACAAGACTGGGGTTCACTTGTGGGAAAATATGAAATAAAAAAAAAAAAAACAGTGCAGGAGACCCTGAAATTAACAAAAATATAGATATGTTATAGCAGCATTAAGAGGCGTGCAGATAAAAATGCATCTCCCCACTCTTTAAAGTGATAGTAATCGTGTCAAACACCTATTTTTCTGCTTTTTGATGCAGTCTCTCCATTACAACATTAACACTTGCATGAAGAGTGACAGGAAACTTTGAGCTATATTCCAAAGTAATTACTTTATCATTAAAGTCATTTAAGTTGTCAGACATACATATGCATGTAAATGTAATGTAATGAAAAACTTTTACTTTTAGAGACAGACAGAATGAAAAGTAAATAAATCATCAAAGGAAACTGGAACCTGTTCAGGGTCCTGTTCCAGACTATAAATAGAAAAATATGTGGTTGTAAGAATGTAACTCTATCTGAGTAAATGACCCACACAAAAGTTGACTCCCTATTTGTCTCCCTGTCCCTGCTCCACCAGGTGTTTTGGAGATCAAATCAGTGGATGTGGGTGTGGTGGCCATCAAGGGCCTCAAAAGTAACCACTACCTGGCAATCAAGAAGAATGGCGTTCTGTATGGAGCGGTAAGTTTTAGCGCTGTTTAACTCTCTGACCTGTCATTTTTATTTAATATGCATTATTCTCTAAGTCTAAGAGGATAGCTTTATTCTCAGTCCAAAAACATCCCTATTTATCTTATACTAGGCCTTGGTGATTGATCGTTCCTAACAAACAGAGGGTTTAAACAGCAGGTGGGTGGAGATGGGTGAGAAGACCCTTTTAATATACCCTCTGAAACTGAGTATTGTACAAAGAGTCCTATGCAGCTCTGTAGTCCAGTGGGTGCCTCTCTTTTCAGAGAAGCTCCGTATTCTTCTTTGAATAATGAAGCTAATATCTTGGTTTGGATTAAATTCTTAACCACAGTTTCTCAAGAACTCAATCACTTTAACCTATTTAAGCTTGAGAGCTTAAATAATAAACTTGTTGAACAGATTACTTGCACAAACATCAAATTTATTAATTGAAATTTTTGGTCACCCTTAGTCTATGACAGAAAATAAGGTCCACTTTAAGAGATTTACGGCTTGTTAGCTCAAAATCTTCTCCACTCTTTGCAAACGCACTTCTGCACTTTTGCGATTGCTAAATTTGACTGATGATGATAGTGAAAAAAAAATTGGTAAAAGGACGTTTTCCCTCTAAAGTGGAGGTTCTGTGGCTTTGAAGTTTCTTGAATTCTTTATAAAACAATGGACAAGGCTGTACGACTCACTGTTCCAGAAATAGGAACCACAGTTACTCTCCTCTGCCTACCTCTCCTCTCCACTCCATTCAGAAACAGGAAACACAATCCTTCAGTTTCTCTGTTCTGCTTCAGTCTCTCTGGGTAGAGCAGCCCTCGTTTTATCTGTCCTCTCTCACTCACCCTTCTTTCCTTCATTCGATTCTGCCTCCCCCACCCCCCTCTTTTCCCTACTTTGAAAGACCTGATTTTCAGCATGTCTCTGAGGAGCCACACAACAGATGAAATGACACACGGTAGAAAAGACAGAAAATAAAAAGAGGCATTTTGTTGCATGGCCTCCAACTGAATTCCCATGACGTCTTCTCCACAGCACAACACAAGCCCTAGTAGCGGAGCGGCGAAGGGCCGGCATTCGATTACACTTGATGGTTTTACACAGTGACTTCTTTATCTGGTGCTAATCAATTGAATTCATTGTTTCATTGTATTGGCAGATTAAAGCACATAGGTGACACCGCAGGTTATGATCACCTTTAACTTTTACTACTTTTACGTTCATTTCTGTACTTACTATAACAATTCTTTTGCCTATTAACACCATTATTTTGAGACTCAATCGATCCTTAACTATAGCTGCTACTTGCCTAACTCTAACCTTAGCCTTTGAACATGTCTTCATCTTAAAGCTTACCGATTTACTACTTACATTTTTTAACCATTTGACCATGAACAGGCTTATATTCCTACATCATGCACTCACGCGATATTTAATTGTACCTTGTACCAGCGTAGTTTAAAAAGCTGCATAGCGTTCGTAAAATATTTTCATTTTGCTCTGGGAACACTCAGCTTTACTTCTGGAACCAATTTGAACAGCTGTGGTGGAGAGAGAGCGCGTGAAGGAGAGATATTGGCTATTAGAGTGTGTTTGTGTGTGTGTGTGTAGCAAGTACATTTTTGCTTGCGAATATCAATTGCATCCATTTAACTGGCTGTTTAAGCGCTGTTAGCCTTAAGCACAAGGGCAGCTTCCAGTAAACTGACAAATGCAGCTCTCTCAGATCATTTTCTCTTCATTTACCAGTGGGTGGCCATTGCGGTAATGTAAGCCACAAACTTTGTGTCACAATGCTCTTTGCTCGGCACTAAGCCCGAACCATCGAGAAGTCACAATAACTTCTCTGCCCTCATCCCACCACCACACAGCCATCCAAACTACTGACACACAAACAACACTGACAACTATTCAAGTTTTACGTCTGACTTTTTAAAATTACGCTGGGGATTGTTCTTAAGCAATGGCTGACCATTTGTTATTGGATGTTGTCACAAGAACCAGGTAACAAAAAAAACAGTTACTATTTTTGAGTAAAAACTAACCATGACTGAGAACTTACACATGTGGTACAGTGGGAAGTTTCAAGCCACTGGCTACCTGCTAGAGGTGGTTTTCATCAATGGAGAAAATCTTAAAAAGGCAACCTGTACTAATTTACTTTAAATATAAATTATTATCTTTTTCTTCAGCTCTTTTAAACTCTTTGCTTCTCCTCCACAGAGAGAGTACGGCCCAGACTGCCGTCTAATTGAACGCATCGAGGAAAACAAGTATAACACCTACGCTTCAGCTCAGTGGCTCAACAAGGACAAGCGCATGTTTGTTGCACTGAACCCCAAGGGAAAGCCAATGAAAGGAAGGAAGACACGAAGGAAAAACCCAGCCACTCACTTCCTGCCTATTTTGTCAGAACAGCGATGACTGGACAAATCAGCAAAGGGAGAGCTCTGCAGATTAAAGGCTATTGGACGTTTTTTGGAGTTGAAGTGATGACTTCATTGGACAGATTCAAGTCTGAACAGTATGATGCACTGAGGAGGAAAAGAAAGGAAACAAACAGACATTTTATCACAGTTGGTTAAAGACATTTCTATTTTTAAAGAAAGAAATAAGATATATCGCTATACAATGTACATATTATTTTCTGTTTTAAGTTATAAAGTACACTGGCACGGTAAAATTATGAAAAGAAATGACTTCTGTGCCAAAATGTGAAACGGTAACTCACATTTTTAGATTTGTGTACGTGTGAAGTCAGTGACTGGGGAAGAAATGGCAAAAGAGAAAACATGGAGGAAAACAGGGGAAGGCAGAGGAAGTATTAGCAGAAAGCTGACTGATAGAAGAAGAAGAAAAGATGAGATGGGCGGAGGAAAATGAAAAAAGGTTGTGTTGTGTTTAGTCAAGTACCAACACAGCAGCAAGTCTAAAACTATCATGTTTCTTCTTTGAATTTATTTATTTTGTGTAATATTTAACAAAAAAACCCTACAAAAATACAAAAAAGAAAGTCTTTTTTTTTTTTTTTTTTTTTTTTACCATGTACGCTTCTCTTTGAATACTATACATTTAAACCTGAATAAATACAAAGAATATATTTGTCTTTAACCTGTCTGACTGACTTTGGTTATTTTTATTTTCAGCGTGTGATTATTGTTTGTTCTTTTGCAAAATACACAACAAAACATAAAAATAAATGCAAACGTAAAGGATATGATTGAATTTTGACTGATGCAGCCTATTGCTGTAACATATATATTAGCTCATTATTACTAACCATGAAAGCTACAATATCGTTTGGTCTGTTCATGTTGCTAGCAAGCCTATACAATTAATCACTTTGAGTGTTTAAGTTTAAGTGGCACTGTTTGAATAGTAAATAATAAGTTTTTAGGTCTGCAAAGCTCAGGTTCAGCTCTAATATAACACAATAAATAACACATAAATGTCTTTAGTTGGATTTTTGCCAGGCAACATGACGGAGTCATAAATCATAATCAAGTTTTGTTTCTATAAATTGTTATTGCTGTAAAAACACATGGTACAATGCTTTTATAAGATATTCTAGGCACATAAACATTACAATTACAGTTAATAAGTGGCTGATAGGCAACAGGATGACGTCACAATACAGTTTGTGATACAGATAAGAACGTAAAATTGAAGTTGTGGGAATATAAATTCAATTGTATAGTTATCAAAATAAAATGATACAATGTTCTAGGTGTATAAAGGGTACAAGTAGGTGATTTTAGCCCATTGGTGGGAGGTTTCTTAGACATGATAATGGCTGATACAATTAAGACACTTCTGGGGCCTAATATGTTTGCTGAACCCATGATTGTGTTTGCAGACAGAGACTTTTATGTACTTTTGCAAGACTAAAACAAATTTTATAGATGAAAGTCAGTGAGTTCAAATAAATTATGCATTTTATAAACCAGTGCATGCCCATGCTAGAGTATTATTTGGCCTGCCCATGCTATTGGATAACTGATATACTTCATAACACTGAGAAAATTCCAAAAACTAGATTGGGTAGCTGTTGTTTGCATATTTCTATACAGCAAAATCAAATTACTTCTATACATAATTAAGGGATTATTAAACCATTTACTGTCCACTCTCATTAATAAAAAATAATTGGTATGCTTGATATTGTTCTATTAATTTTATACCCATATAACACAAGAAGATGTAATAACTTTTTAATTATATTATGTTTCCATACGTGCCTTATGGGCTACCTGCATATTTTAAAAACATGAACCTAAAAAAATGTTTATATAATGATATGCTAGGGAAAAAGGGTGATTTTGTAGGCTGAATTAATTAACTACAAATCCCACTTTCATTTCCACAGCTATTTATCAGACAGTAAGCTTCTCATATACTATACTATATAATTGGATTTTAATCAGTCAGTCACATGGTGGTGTCATATCACAGATATCTTAATATTCAACAGTTTTTATATAAATTAGATATTATTGTGTAATTTAAATAGATGCTATAATGTTTTCTGAGGTGCATAAATCCTAAAATCTTGGGATTTTCAGCTGTTGCAAGGTGATTACCAGGCAACATAATGGCTTTCAGGTGTTCAGTACCTACGTTATTTTGCGAAAGTCTTTATTCACACGTGTGAACATTGCATCATTTCAACTATTCTTTCCAATCAACGTTCTCACTCCCAAAGCGTAACATTTTACGCTAGGCGGCAAATCGTCAACATATTACGTTTTCGGCTACCCACCACGTTCCTAAATGACGACCTCGGAAAAAGAGGAAATATGAGAACCGTCTGGACTCCATCTACACATGTTCGCTCTTTTTCTTCAAATTGCTTAGAAACACGCTATTTAACATCATTAAAGTCCTGGTTAAGGTCAGGAATAAGGTTATGGTCAGGGCTAGGTTTAGGGCTGGAATACAGGGCTGGAATGTCTATTACCGCGGGAGGGTCATTGCACTGGATTCCAGCCATAACCCGCCGCATACCATAAGAACGCCGAAGGTCTCCTTTCGCGTTCCTCAGGAACGCCGCGGGACGTGACAAAACGTCGACATGTTACGCCTCGGGAGTGAGAATGGGCTGTTCCAAAAGGTTCAGGAGTGCATTTATGGGATCTTTTGATTCTTCCAGAAGCTATTTTGGACGAGAACGCCTGGCTCGTAGTCTCTGCTCTAATTCATCCCAAAGGAGTTCTATCAGGTTGAGCTCAGGACTCTGTGCAGGCCAGTCAACTCCTTCCGCACCAAACTTGCCCATGCATGTTTTTATGTCCAAAATATCTTGATATGTAAAAGCATTAAGAATTCATTTTACTGGATCTAAGGGGGCGAGTCCAACTCCTGAAAACCAACCCCCCACCATAATCCCCCCTCCACCAAACTTGACACTTGGCACAATGCAGTCAGACAAGTACTGTTTTGCTGGCAATGGCCAAACGCAGACTCCTCCATCAGATTGCCTGACAGAGAAAAGTGATTTGTCACACCAGAGAACACATCTCCGCCACGCTAGACTCCAGTGGAGGTGTGCTTTACAACACTACATCCAATGCTTTCCATTACGATTAGTGATGTTAGGCTTGGATGCAGCACCTCTGCCATGATAACCCATTCCATGAAGCTCTCTATGCACTGTTCTTAAGATAATCTGAAGGCCACATGAAGTTTGGAGGTCTTTAGAGATTGACTCTGCAGAAATGTGTGACCTCTGCATGCTATGTGCTGACCCTGCTTTGTGACTGAGTTGCTGTTGTTCCCAACTGCTTACTCTTTGTTACAACACCACTTACAGTTGACTGTGGAATATTTAGTAGTGAGGAAACTTTATGACAGGACTTGTTGCACAGGTGTCACACTGGAATTCACCGAGCTCCTTAGAGCGGCCCAGTCTTTCACAAATGTCTGTAGAAGCAGTCAGCATGCCCAGGTGCTTTATTTTATACACCTGTTCTGTGGAAGTGATTGGTACACCTGAATTCAATCATTTGGATGGGTGATTGAGTACTTTTGGCAATAAAGTGTTTATGCCAGGGTTGGTTTCTGAGCTTCCTGTGTGAGTGTAGGAGGAGTTTCTGGGCAGACAGTTTTGGTGTATCATAGTAAGATAAACATGGTGCTCTGTGGACTTTACATGGCTGGAGCTTTCAGTGATTAAACAGTTTGATGTCGAAAGCTTCACAGCTGACGAATCCATCATGAGATGCTTTTTGAAGTCAATATTTCAGAGATCAAGAAGCGCAGCATTTCATGACTAAGTGAGACAATACTTGACTGGAGTCTGCCAAAATAATGAGGGTTTGTAACAAACAAGAGTAAGCCACTGGAGGGCTTTTAAATCCAAGGCGTGAATCGGGAATCTGTAAGAGATTAGGATTTTGAAGTGAAGCCCAGGAGACAACCTGCCTGATTGGCTCAGGGGTTTTCGTTTCTCGCTGCAAAATCTTCTGCCTTACAAGTACATATGGCAAACATGGCTTCCTGGAGGATAAACACTGTCTTTTATGTAATAACAACAAAGACAAAACAGGCTTTAGAAATGGACGACACACTTGGGCGGCTGAGCAGGGGCGTGTGTGTGCATCAGTGTGGTCTAGCAGCTGGGAAAAGCCTCCTCTTGAACTTACGTGTCTGAAACCTGTTACTGTATCCCTCGAGACAGAAAGACACATGTAGCGGGGCATATGGTATAACGTAAATATCACTCCATTGTTTATCACCTGATTCTAATTAACTATGATCTCATGTTTTCTTTATTCTTCTTTTGCTTTCCCTCACTTTTTCTTTAACTTGTTCTCTCGTGTTGTTGCTGTCTGGGTCCTGCGATTTTCCCTCAAATTCATCTTTTTATTTTTTGGAAAGTTTTTTTAAACGTAAGTCATGCCTCGGTAAGGCTGAGGCGCAGGATCAAACATAGAACAAACACACACACATGCACACATGCAGTCTCCTTGTCCCCGGGCCTGCAGCAGTTCTAATTTGTACATTGCATCCATCACTTTCAGCCCTCTGCCATCTGTTTTTGTGTGTGTGTGTAAGTTAATTTGTGAGTATGAAGGAATCCACCGGAGTCCGTCCATCCCACTGTGTTTATTACTAAAAAGGTCCCCGATCCTCTTATTGTGCTCAGGAATCCCTCGCCGTCTCACACTCATGTCAAAAAATGAGTAAGTATGATACATCAGTGGGAGATTCAGATTTCCTTTCATCCTCCCAGGGCATCTAGTCTTTTGTTTATATGATTACTTGGGTGTTCTCTAAACGACATATCAAGTACAATTACTTTGAAATGTGTTCAAGACACCGATACCCCTCCCCTTTTCCCCCTTTCGCCCTCCCTCATAAAGTTCAAGGGCTGGCATTCCCAGGCCAAGATGTCTTTATTATTTGGTGGGACAGCTTCAGAGATGTAAAACATCTCATTTAAGTCCATATTTGAACAAGGAAACCTGGACTGGAACTTGGATATCTGACACAAATTTGTACACTTCTTCATTCAGAGAACCTGGAATCGAGTCCGCATATATAACATGTGTAGACCTCTTGGAAGAGAGCTTGATGTATTTTTATTGCAACTCTAACATGACTTAATGCGCTCTTGCCTTTGCCCGTAATGCATAACGAGGCTAGACTTTAAAAGCGAGGCATTTATTCAAGACAGATGTTTCACACTGATTATAAACCTCAGTGATATCTCAGTTACTGTGTTCAGCGGCACCAAGCCACGTATCGTTTCTCCTATTTCTGCAGTGCGCCTGACATGTTTCTAAAAGCTGTTTGCAGTGTCATTTTTTCAGTGTTGTACTTGGGTATGTTTGGTTAGAGCTTGGTTTGTTGAGGCATGTGGCGAGGCTCAGTATGCGGTTTCTGTTTTGACTACATCGGGATCTATCGGACCTGTGTCGAACCTCAAATGAAACGTACACCATTGGCTTCACACGTTCACAGCTCCTCTGTTTGCTCAGAGAGTCTTGTGGCCGTGCTACCTGACCGCAGCAGCAGCTGTGAATA